CAAACCAAACCAGGTACTTGGCTGTGATTTTTTTGTGTGTGTGGGGGGGTACCAGTTATTGAACCCAGGAGCACTTAGCCACTGAGCCACATTCCTAGCCCTTTTTGTATTTTGAGACAGAGTCTCACTAAATTCCTTAGGGCTTCACTACGTTGCTGAGGCTGGTCTTGAATTTATGATCCTCCTGCCTCAGCCTCCCAAGTTGCTGGGATTACAGGCATGGGTCACCATGCCCAACTGCTATAATCATTGACAAGGAAACAGATGGCTGGCACTGGGGGAGAATGAACAACTTTCAGGGACTAAGTTGCTTTGGGAGACAAAGGTCAGAAACCAGTATTTGCTGAAGACACTTTGATGAGCAGATCACAGGAAAGATGACACTGGCCAGATGGCCAAGACCTGGGGTAAATAACTATTTTTTAACATTCATGTTTAATTGGAACGCTTTGAATGGATTGAGATCTGGGAGATCAGTAGGAAGACAGAATATTCTTTAATTCATATCTTATTGTGTTAGAGTTTATAATTAGAGCTCTAGTGTTTAAGAATCCTAGTACAAAGAACAGCCTACATTCATTGCCAATTAAAACATAAAGGAACAAAAAACACCAGTCTAAAGACGTGCCTCAGAATCTGAGATGGTTTAAGAAGTGTGCTGTAACGTCAAGAAAAGAGATTTTTCCTTAGTATATGTATAATCTCTTGAAAAAAGCATTGGTTTGGGTATCACTGGATACAAATTCTGGTTCCAGATGTCTTATAAGTTAACTGTTCCCTCTCTGTAAAGCAGAACAATGTTTACACCTAATCTGCCTCTCAGGGATACCATGTCAATAAAAATTATGTCCACAGAGTGCCTGATATGTATGCAAATTATTATGATCAAGTTGTTCATGGTAAGAAAGGATAAATTTTTCCCTGTTTATACCAGAAGTATGTCTGTCTGATTCTTTATGCTCTAGGCAATGAAAAAAATTTACAATGTAGTAAAAAAGAATTTAGAACAAAAATACTTTCTTTTATATGAATCCATGTCCACAATCCATTAGAACCCATCCTAGGCATAGAGAATGAGTCTTATATGAAAACATGCAGGACCAACCTTCCAATCTCCAAGAGAATGTACAAGAAAAATAGGGCATGAGCATGCTGTCTCACCAGGTGAAGACCTAATTCATATGAAACTACCTCGCAAAATATTAAATGCCACCCAATCTGCCATTCATGAGGATGGGAAGAAGCAAAAAATAATAGACTTCAAACATTGTAAGAGAAACTAATGCCACTATTCGGGGAGCAAGATGACCTAGGCACCTCTCACTTTTTAAAATCCATAAAGCCTTTGTAGGACCAGAGGACATGTGCAGAAAGGAAGCAAAAAATAAAGGTTCTAATAGTTGTCATTTATTTTTATCAGGTGTTTCCTTAGTATTGCTACTTCTTTTTCATATTTTCCACATACTGTCATTCTTCCTTTGATTGCTTGTCCTCTATGACTAATGCCATAGAATTTAACATTTATAGGTATTCGCTGTGTTGTTGCCATTTCTCACTTATTGTAATACAAGTTAGAAGCTGAGTCTTGTCAACCTTGTGTAGCATTATTTTTATGGTGACCAGGTAGGGAAGGGAGAAGGGAAAGGAGATGAGGTAAGAATGTAAAGATGAATCAGTTCTTTCATTATTCAATTCAAAATCTAAAATGAAAACTTTACTCATTTAGCTATGTTATGACATGGATGTCTCAAAGTCTTTGCATATAAAATGTATGGAGTATTCTCTGAAACCATGGTGCTAAAAGTAATATATGATTTTTTTTACATATGATACATATAAAATAAACTTATTAACTTGTTTCTACTAGGCCCACCATAGAGTTCTTTCACAAACATAACTTTTGAACCACTGGAAATTAGGTTAAATATTAGAAATAGAAGCCCAACATGTCTTTTTTTTTTTTAAAGAGAGAGTGAGAGAGAGAGAATTTTAATATTTATTTTTTAGTTATCGGCGGACACAACATCTTTGTATGTGGTGTTGAGGATCGAACCCAGGCCGCACGCATGCCAGGCGAGCGCACTACCGCTTGGGCCACATCCCCAGCCCCCAACGTGTTTTAAAGGTCATAAGGGTCTGGCCAGAAGAGCTCCACTGTGATCAAAATATGACAGGGTAGATCATTTAACACACATATATGTATATTTGCATAGATTCCCAGGGGTATTTGGTTAAACCTATATAACCCAACAGATAAATTAGGGAAATGATTTTAAAGTCTTCCACAAATAGTGAAGTCATCAAATTATTTAAGTAGAATTTACTTTAAAAATATTTTGTTGATATCTTCCGTAAACACAGAACAGAAGCTAAAGGGCATTCATCTCATTCTACACAGTGAGGTATATACTCAATAACTTTATGCTGAGTGTCACCAAGAACCTGAGTATTTCTTTGGCCTCACAAATCTCTGCTTGCCCAAAATTGGCATTTGAGAATTTTTAACAGACAAGAAAGCAACATTTTTTTTAATATTTATTTTTTAGTTTTCAGCAGACACAACATCTTTGTATGTGGTGCTGAGGATCGAGCCCGGGCTGCACACATGCCAGGCGAGCGCGCTACCGCTTGAGCCACATCCCCAGCCCAAAAAAGCAACATTTATGGGGCTGGGGTTGTACCTCAATTGTAGAGTACTTGCCTAGCATGTGTGAGGCCCTGGATTCGATCCCCAGCACCATATAAAAAAACTAAATAAAATAAAGATATCGTGTCCATCTACAACTAAAATATTAAGAAAAAAGAAAGCAACATTTGAAGAGACAAGGATGAAGTTCTAATAAGCTTAGTGGTCTTGATGTAGAACTAGAATAGGCAAAATTAAGGGGCACTCCAGATAAGTACAACTCTTGACCTCTGTGTTCATTTGATGTATTGATAAGACACAAGCTATATATGCTCTTAGCAACAGAGAGAGCAGAAGTAGCAGCTATACTGGTGACCAGGTAAATATGGGATGGGATTCAAAGATGAAAGGGGATATATGCACAGGATTATCTACTATTATCAGTAAAAGGTAGGCATATTTTTCAAAATGCCAAATCATTGAAAGAGTCAAGAAAATAAGGCTTTCTGAGGGCCTATTCCAATCTGCATACATATAGTTTTTGTTTGTAACTTTTTTATCTTGATATGATTTCAATTTTACAGGAAGAGTTCCAAAAGGAATTCCTATATATCTAGATGGACCAGTTTTATTTTTCCCATTTGCTTTCATTTTTATATATATGTACATACATACATACACACACACACACACACACACACCCCTAAATATATTTTAAAAAATCACCTGAGTTAGAATAAGTTTGCCCTTTTCTCCTAAATACTTAATATCAAGTATTTCCTTTTAAAGTATAAGAAGAAAGACATTCTCTTAAACCTCAAGTTTTCAAAGTCAGTAAATATAAAATTGACATAACACTATCTACTCAAATTTCTTCAACCATTCCAATAATTCCCATTATAGAGAATTTTTTCCTTGTCCTAGATCATGTTTTATATTTGTCATTTCCACTCCCTCACTTTGTAGTGCTGGGGATGGAACCCAGGGCCATCCTGGAGTGCATGCTAGGCAAGCACTCTACTGCTGAAACACATGCTCAGCCCTTTACTCTTCTTTAATCTTAACTTGCCCTTTGTTTTCCTTTAGCCTCACATTTTTAAAGAATATTAGACTTTTTTTTTTCAGAATGACCCTCACTATTTAGGTTTATGTCACTGATATTTCCTCATGATAAGATTGAGAGTGAGCACTTTGACGATTAATAAAAGGGATGTTTTGTCTTTCTCAGTGTGTCAGGAGGCACATGATGTTAAATTTGTTGGTGATGTTGATTTTGTTCTTTGGCTATGATATATTTACCAGAATTCTGTTATTTTCCCCTTTGTAATTAATATGTGGAGAGTAATTTTGAGACAATGTTAAAGATCCTGTCCCTCAAACTTTCACCCATCAGTTTAGCATTAGTTTTCTAACTCCATCCTTTTAAAGTATAATATTAGTTTACTGTAAGGAAAAGTATTCCCTTTCCTCCTACTTATTTTTATTAGTATAAACTCATGGATTCTTACTTTAATGGGTTAAAAACCTATCACTGTCATTTATTTTGATGTTCAAATTATCCCAGATTTGGCTAGTAAGAACCTCTTCAGATTTGCTCTTTTGTTCTTTTGTCCTTTGTGCACTTCTTATTTTTTGATGCAACAAGGTATTCCAGACTAATTTGTACACTTTCTGCCATGACCTTTGTATCAGCCTTTAATTTTATATATTGACCTCATATTCTGTGGGACCCTGATGATGCATTTGTTCTTGGTAGATTCAAGTTCTACTTGTTCTTGGTAGATTCCTTAGGATTTTCTATGTAAATAATCATGTTATCTGTAATAGAGATATCTTTCCTTTTTCTTTTCTAATCTTCCCTCTTTTTACTTTTTCTTTCCTATTGCACTGGCCAGCTAAGATCTCTACTTCATATGAAGACCAGTGATTAGAGCATATATCTTTTACTTGCTCACAATCTTTAGAGGAAAACATTCAATACTTCACTATTAAATTTGATGTCCAGGGCTGGGGTTGTGGCTCAGCAGTAAAGTGCTCGCCTAGCAAAGTGTGAGTTCTTGGGTTTGATCCTCAGCATCACATAAAAATAAATAAATAAAATAAAAGTATTGTGTCCAACTACAACTAAAAAGTAAGTCTTAAAAATTTGATGTTAGCTGCAGATTCTCATAAATTCTTTTGTCAGCCAATCTGTGAATTTTAAATTTTGAAACTTCACACAGGAAAACTTATGCTGTACTCATGCTCCTACACTGAGTTAAGGCTAGCATGACTTTTATATTGTGAAAATGATTTCACAACAAAGTTAATAAATTAAAATCATTTGTCCCACTAGCTTTCGTATACATATATATATATACAGACATATATATACATATATGTGTGTGTGTGTATATATATATATAAAACAAAATTGTTTATACCATTTTCAATGAAAATATGATGTATATTTTCATATCATTAAATTTTGTTCTACAACATTTTAGAGGCTGTAAAACATGCACATTTTGAGGATAAATAATATTTTTTAACTATGCAATATCTGAGTGGGTGGGGGTAAAGAATAATATAAAGCTATATAAGGTTACAAACAATCTAAGAACTTCAAAAACCTAAGAGCTTCCCTCTACCCTGTTCCCTAAAAGAAAGACAAACAAAGCTTATTAGAAACCTTTAGTAATTGAAATTAGGGATGTCATCATCCTTTCTTTTCTCATACCAGGGAAAATATACATTCTAACAAGAAAAGCAATTCAAGCATATTTTGGTATCTAATAAATTATCTTACCATTCAGAACTAATCTTAGTTGTTCCTTGTCTTCAGCTAAAGGAGCCATGATATGTGAGTTTATGTAAGTCTGTGTGTGGTCCATTGTGTAGGGGAGGGGTCATAGGAAACCTAAAGAATTCTAGTAACCCCAACATTATCACTACTAAAAATAATTTTTGAACTGAGGAAAATGTTAAGTACTGGGGTGGAAATCCTGGCAGCTTCCACAAAGGAAAAGCTCAAGTGACAGAAACACCTGAAAATAGAAACTGCAGCAGTTTCCTTCTTACTCCTCAGTCAGCTACTGTCTCCTAAATTGGAGCAAAGACTTTAATCCCTCTCAAGTATTGACAAGGACAGTCATGAGAAGGGCAAAGCCAGATTTTAACAGCTAGCTTTGTAACTAAGATATCCAAAGTAAATGAACCTTGACTATTAGGCATTCACACAACTCTATGGTGTCTGGTGTGACCTGGCATTAACAGTCTTGGGGGATAATACTTAAAAGAGTTAAAGTAAATGAGGGGAGTCTAATTAAAGTAAGCACAACATAATACAGAGCTACTGTCAAAAGCTTGAAACTTTAAAGGTATTGGCGATCATGTGTTTCCCCTTTCTCCTTACCTTACACTAGTAATTCCAAAACTTTTCCTAATGAAAAATTGGCATGGAGGTAAGCTATGTAAGACCTCAAGGCCAGCTGAAAGCAGAGTTTTGAGATGACACTTGATTCCCTGCTTCTGCTGGTGTTCCAGCAGTTGGAGTTCCTCTGCTTCTGCTGGTGGGTGGGGGTCTATGTAAGGATGCAGGCCTCTGTAGCCAAAAAATGTTGCAGCTAGTAATGATGGGCCATGCCTTCCAGTCTTGCAGCAGACCCCCAGGAGCTCACCACCAATTTCTTCTTGTTTCTGGATTCTTGTCTCATGAATTTGAAGAATGAAATCCACAGACCAGGATGAACAAGTGTAAGGGCAGGGTTTACTGAAGAATAGAAACAGGAACAGAACTCTTGCAGTGCAAGAGGACACCGGATAGCAGGTTTTCTCCATCTGAGTGTGCTTGTCTAGGGGTTTATATAGCACTTGGTTCAGTGTTATTGGTCCAAACTTAAGCAAATCAGGGTTTGCAAAAGTACTAATGCCACTGGTCCAAAATTATGCTAATTTTAAATCCTATTTGGAAAAGTACTAACACCATTGGTTAGTCTAGAATTCCATTCAGGTTTGCCGTGCTTCCATTTTCTCCCCGCTTCTTGGAAAGCAGGAGGATGAGGTCAGTGAATTGCACATGTTCAGTAGGGGCAGAGGTCCCTAGGAAGCCCGATGGTGCCCAGCAGAGCAGGTGTGTGCCCTATTTGGGGCGAGCTGTGGTGGGATGACAGGTGGGTGTGTCTTGGCTTGCCTATGGCATTGGTCCACCCTGGTTCAGGCCCTCTGCACTTCAGGCCCACGCTGGCATGATAGTCTCTGTGCAGCCATGGCCCACACTTGCTGCCTGCACTCCATCTGACCTGGGCTGCTGCTCTACCACGCCACTCCTCCCCTGTTGCTTCTTGGCAGGGACCAATGACTGGCTGCATGGCTTGGCAGCCAGGGAGCCATGTCACTACTAGTCAGTTTAAGACCTATTTACTGGTCATCTGCCATATGTAAGGTCCTGGTGATAGAGCCCATGAATTTGCTATGCTTTGAAGGAAGTGGGAGACAATTTACTGAATGGGACATAAAAGAAAGATCTCGTTTGCAACATATACAATAGTAGTTCATTCACCTTGGGCTGGGGATGTGGCTCAGAGGATTGCCTGGTATGTTTGAAGCCCTGGGTTTGATCCCCAGAACATCAAAAAAACAAAACAAAACTAGTTCATCTTATTATAGCTCAAAAGTGTAACACTTTGGGCTTCAGATTTTTCCACTTCTTTCTCAATTCAGATCTAGTGCTGTCAGAAGCAAAGATGTAGCTGATGGATTCATAAGACAGATCCCATACCTGAGACTTGGTTAAATTAAATGTTTCAGCAGCCAGTTGGTACTCTTGAGAAAGGTATGTCGCAAAAACACCCTTATCATCAGTCTGTCAATATAAATAAGAATGTTTCAAAATAAGTAAGGAAAATACTTTTTTAAAAATAACTCTCTTCTTTATATTTTCCTATTTACCAAGCTTCTTTAAACAGTCTAAATAGGAGCCTATAAATGTATATATGCATATCTATAAATAAAGAGTTTTATTTATACTGGAGCAGTGTTTCAACCTTGGCTGCACATTAAAATCACCCTGGGAGCTTTTAAAACATCCATGACTAAGACTTACCACATAATTTCATAGGATGGGTGCTAGGGTTCAGTATTTTAAAAAAAAAATTCCCTTAGATATTGTCCAGGACCTTTTCCTACAGACCCAGACCAGAGTCACCCAGGCCCACTGCAGCCTCTCAAGGACCAACCCCCTCTTAACTCCTTTAGTCAGGCATTCCCCTCAGGCACTTAAAGCAGCCTAAAAAAAAAAAAAGAGAGAGAGAGAGAGAGAAAAAAATACTTCATGTAAAACACCTTACACAGATCACAGAAGGATGAGCAATGCTGTACCAAAATCCAAAGTGATGCTGGTCATAAGATGGAACTGTCTGACTTTTGATGTTTGAGGTCAAACAGAGTTCTAGATGGAAGGGGAAAAAAAATCTCATTAAAAGCAATAAATAAACTCATACAGTGTTCACCAAGTGGACCCATGAGAAATATTTACAAACCATGCTGGTTTGCAGCAGTTTTATTATTCTTCACAACTGGCCTTTCCTTTTGTGTGATATAAAAATTTATGGGGCTGGGATTGTGGCTCAGCGGTAGAGCGCTTGCCTAGCACGGGCGAGACCCTGGATGAACCTCAGCACCACATAAAAATAAAAAATAAAAGGCATTGTTTTGTGTCCATCTACACCTAAAAAAAAATTATAGTTCAACTAATGTAGTTGTGCAGGAAGTATGTGCTACACATATGGCAGCAACTGAACCAGACAAGGAGTTAATACTCTCTTCAACAGCCATGTGATTCCCTTTCATTACCAAAATGGAGAGGAAAGAGAAATGTTATAAGCCAGTCATGATGAACAAGACAGGAAATTATGACAGTGGAACAGAAGCGTTTTTGAAGGGCTATTGTAGTTCCTCCTGGTCTTATAGAGTGGAGACCAAAACAAAGATAAGGAAATTTTTTAGCACTGCATGAGAGTTACAGCACTATAAAGAAGCAAAAGTGAGCCATAGACTTTTCCCATGGCTTCTAAGAAAACTTCTGAACACTCTTACCCAGACCATCCATTCACTGCCTGCTGCTTCTAGGTAAGTTCATCTTAAGAATTACTTGTGCTATTAACAAATTCCTACCTTGAAACACTGTACTTGGCTCCTCAGCCAGAGTAAAACACTTCACTGACTTGACTGCTGGCATCTGCACACTTGGATAAAGAAGCCTCAGTATAGGTCCACTGAGTCCAGGTGATGCTCCCTCACTTAGCTGGGAGCAGAGCTGGGCCACCATATCAAATAAGATCATTATGAAAGAAGTTTCCATTCTCTCTACTTTTGTGGATATTTAAAAGTCTTAGTAAAAAGAAAAAAATCTCACTATGAATTGCTAAAAACTCTATAAATAGTTTAAAAGAATACATCAAAGGTTTTTTGTAAACTGATCAGTTTGTAAATTTAGCAAATTGACCATTCAATAAAATGATTTGTAGGTATTCACTTCTTGTCGTCTTCAGAAAGACCTTCCCTGATCATCAAGAAAGTGGTTATCTGATCACTATTTTATCATCCAGTTTAATTTTCTTAATAGAACTTAACAGTGATATTTTCTTATGTATTTGCTTACTATCTTTTGTCCACATGAGTTACTTGAGAAAGAAACCCTGTCTGTTTTGTTAAATGCTCTATTAACAGTATTTAAGAACAGTAACAACAAAGTAGGCACTTCATAAATACATACACCATCAAGTGAGTAAAGTTAACAGACATGTAAAAAATATATTTTTTGAATTTTCCATAATTAGTTTTTAAATAAATGCCACATATTTTATGACACATGTCAATTTCATAAAAGCTATTTTCAAAATCCTGGTGACCCTCAGTCCTTCAAAAAATACTTACTGAGGATTATTGCAGTGAATAGAGAGGGACCCACTCTCATGGAGCTTACATTCTAACAGGAGTTAAAACTCTCACTTAAATGAGGCTCAGAAATCATACATCCAAAGATTCTTTGAATTTCTATATGATAGTTATAATTTTAGAACAGTACTTTTCCATTTAGGGCTTGCAACCTGGGGGTTGAGGGACAAAGAGCCAGAGGATTGTCTGAGAGACCTGAAACCTAAGCCTTACCTAGTGGGATTTGGTGTTGCCTCACAAAATCTACCAGATTGAGGGATCCTTCCTCAGAGGAGTTGAGAAATGTTCCATGTCCAATTCTGTCAGGAAGTAGATCAAGGAGCATTTGTGTTTCTTTATTTTGGTTTGGAATCTTTAGAAAAATAAGAAAAAGGGATTAATGATCTCTTTCAGTTGTTCTTACTAATTTTTTTTCCTATACTGTGTACTCTTGTCCCTCTGTGTAGTTAACATAGGTAGCTTTTTTTTTTTTTTTTCCGGTACCACAGGACTTGAACTCAGGGGCACTTGACCACTGAGTTGTATCCCAAGCCCTGTTTTGTATTTTATTTAGAGACAGGGTCTCACTGGGTTGCTTAGTGCCTCATCATTGCTGAGGCTGACTTCATGATCCTCAGTCTCAGCCTCCCAGGCTGCTGGGATTATAGGCTTGTGCCACTGTGCCCGGCACCTTTTTTTTTCCTGTTCTTTTTTTGGTGCTGAGATTGAACGCAGGGCCAGGTACTCTACTACTGAGCTACATTCACAACCCCTCTTCCTTTTATTTTATTTATTCCTCAATATTATTCTACATTAATTTCAGTAATAACAATAAACTTAAACTTACTACAACCTTACTTTGTGCCATTCCATATCAATTCTTTAAAGCTTATAACATTTTATGATTACAAAGTGTTAAGATGAAGAAATTAAAACTCAGAAAATTTTCAAAAAACAAAACACCTAACTCTGTATGCATATGTGTTTTGTGTTATGTCTATATGTTCAAAGATATTAAAAAAAGATTTAGAGAAATATAAAAACAAAACTGTTAACAGCATTAACTTTGAGGAGCAAAACTAAAATGAGAGGGGACTTTCATTTTAATGTTTTTTCCTTCTGTATTATACTTCCCTACACTTGAAATTTCTTCAGATAAATAAAACTTTTGTAGTTAAAAGTATAAAGTATTTTTTAAGTTGTTCAAGGGCCTAGAGCTAGTGTATGGTAGAGATTATGGGTAAAACCTTACTCCATCTGATTCCAGGGCCCAGATATTTCTCACACAATGTGCTCATGTTCTACTTTGACAAAGCTCACTACCACAATTACCATTAAAATATCCAGCTGCACTGTTTATCTCCTAGACAGCCAAAGGCCCCAAAAGGTAAATGATCAGAACATTTTGAAATGAAATGTTACAATTCAAAGGAGCAATAGAAACTACTGTGCAACAGAAACTAAGGTGCATACCTCAGCCAGAAACCTCAGCCAGGTGCATACCACCACACCGAGCCCTTACCATTAATTACATTTAAAAATATTTCATGCACCATGGAGTATTACACAGCACTAAAAAATGACAAAATCATGGAATTTGCAGGGAAATGGATGGCACTAGAGCAGATTGTGCTTATTGAAGCTAGTCAATCCCTAAAAAACAAATACCAAATGTCTTCTTTGATATAATGAGAGCAACTAAGAACAGAGCAGGGAGGAAGAGCAGGAAGAAAAGATTAACATTAAACAGAGACATGAGGTGGGAGGA